AGGCTCGTGACAGCGCTCTCTCTCCTGGCTGCACACCCTTCATCCCCATCCGCCCTTGGCGTTGCCCTCGGCCTCCCCAGTGCTCTTTCTGATGTGGAAAGACTGGACTTCTAACCTCAGGTCGTTTGGATGGTCCCAGATTCGCTTGTGATGACTCTTTCACAGCAGTCATCCAAATGGAAGCGGAAGACGTCCTAAAGCCCCAGCAGTTCGTTGCCTGCTGCATGTATAGACAGTGCTAGAGAGGTGTGTTCACATTAAGTTTTTATGAAATTAACATCCCAATTCTCCACAAAGGCCAGAGATTTCCCACCTTTACATTTAAGATTAAATTAACAGGATCTCAAGGATTCTGTGTTTCGGATTCAATTACCTCTCAGTGATTCCATGTTTCGGGAAACTAAAAGGGATCAGGGGAGATGTTACTCAACTCAACCCTTGACGAAGTTGAGCTAGAATCCAAGCATCCAGTGGGGGGGGTGGTGGCAGAGTGAGGATCTGCAGATCACAGTCTGCGTGGGCCTTCCACTGCTGCCCTGCAGGCCCCATCAGGACCAGAGGGAGCCCCAGAATTACTTCAGCCCCTCCATGTACAGAGGAGGAGCTGCTATACACTGTCGCAGCAGGCGGGCAAGGCTGTCCCTGCAGGGGATGCAGTGGCCTTCATCCGCACCCAGCCCAGACATGAAACGCATGGCCAGGGTTCAGCGGGCTGCAGAGGATTCAGACCCTGGAAGCTGGAGGCCAACAAGACTGACCGGGAACTGGGTCTCGAAACCGCTCCTTGAGCTTCTGGCAGGAAAGCGCAAGAGCAGAAGGTTCAATGTGGTTGTCAGGGCAACCCCTCTGCTGTAGCACCAAAAAAGAAGCAAAAAGTGCCACTGTGGCCTGGGGATAAAGGAGAAAGCCAATCCATGCTTCCACCCAGCGCACACTCAGGCGAGCCCGGAGCTGAGCCTGAGGTCACCTGGGCCGAGGCCCTGGCGAGGCGCCTGTGCCGTGTGATTGTCTCTTCTGCCAGACCTTGGGCATCTGCTCTGGGGTCCCACAAGCTGGATGCTGACGAGGGCCAGAGGAGCCCTGGGTGATGCCCTTGGAAATCTGTAAGACGCAAGGGAGCTTCATGAATGTTTGGGCCTGGAGCAACCTGGGGAGCATTACCCTGTCCATTCTGACCCTGTCCCTTTGAAACTGGTGTTGAAAACCTTTTCACCCACATGCGGTTGTAGATGATTATCCAGACTGATTCACTATTGCCTTGTTTTTTCTCCTCCTTCTAAATATTGAATTGCTCTCATCTGGCGAGCTTTGGGGAAAGGCGTCTTTCTGAAGTGGTCTAACTGTGAGCAGTGGGCTTCTGAGGATGGTGTCCAGTTCCCCCAGCCCGGCAGGGAGGTTCAGATTTTGGAACCTTCAGATCACCAGGAGACACTCAGACAGGGCAGGGCTCCCCTTCTTTACATGGGTCCTCCGCACCCTCCCGAGGCCGCCACTGCCCACATCAGATGTCTGAACCAGGGACACACAGTCACCATTGCCACCAGGGGGCAAGGAGCCAGGTTCTTTGCCTGCATCTCCAGTTAGTTCCAGACAAGTCGGGCCCATCGGAGGGGCCAGAAAATACGGGTGCAGTGCTGCCTGATTGCCCCCAGCAGGTTTTCCTTGTCAGTAGGAGACACACTGTGCACCTGGCCGTGCCCAAGGTCCTGTCCTTCTGCAGAAAGTCTGGGGCCCTCTCTCTGTATGCCGCCCACTCAGCCTTCCTGACACACATGGTAAGTGACCGCAGCGTTAGCAATGTGCTCGGCGACCTGGTCTGCACTTCCACTCAGCCTTGCCTTCCTCCCGCTCGGCCCGGGGCCCCGGAGTCTGGGGTGTCAGTCCCTTGGGCGGTTGCCACCCCAGCCAGGTTTGGGACAAGGTCATTGCCTTGTCAGAGTTGATTTGTGACAGTCTCTTGCCCCTCCTCTTCTCCATTTCCTTCACCACTTTGTGCTCTGTCTGCTCTGAGAGAGGATCTGAAATCGAACTTCTCAGGGTCGCTGTGCTGGGCGGGAGATGGGAGGCTCTCCCTGCCGGGTGCTAGCTCACCCAGTCTGTTTTGACCACCAGTCTTTGATGTAGATATCGTGATTCACACTTTATATGCAAGGAAATTGAGACTCAGCAACGCTGAGTAGTAGGATGATGACTACGGCAGTGGATGGGAATAAGCCGGCCTTGGTCACACAGACCGGGGCGCGGAACCCTCACTCCATCTCGGCTGACTGTGTCTTCGCACAGGCCATTTGGCCTCTCCGGGCCACTGTGTCCTCGTCAGGAAAATGAGAACAATGATGTCCATTTTCAGAAACAGAAGCTGCGCTTTGCATGTGTGACACTCAGTAGCTACGACACGTGTCGTGCTATTAGTCCCTTCTGAAGAGTCACACAGCTGGCAAGGCACAGGCTGGCTTTGAACTCCCACTGCCCTATTTCTAGGCAGCGCTGGGTGCCCTGCGGCCACACACCATTCCCCGTGCAGGCGGAGGTGCCACCAGGGTGCTTCCGGCGTAACCTGCAGTTGAGAACTGATGCTGGGGCCCCAAGAGGGCTGCTCTCAAAACGGATATGGCAATGGAGAAAATGACAACAAATTCAATCATGGGAGAAATACCACCAAAGAAGCTTCCTTTTGATGTGCAACAAAACCCCCCTGAAATGCTCTTACCCTCCTTTTACAAACCAGGCAGAGATTTACCCCAAATCTCCCTTGATGCCACCTTCTTCTCCGTCCCCTTCCCCAGCCCCTGTTAGATACATCAGTGTCGTCTTCTCTCTGACTTCCGTGCCAGCGGCTGACTGCCTAGGTTTTTCAGTCCCAAAGCAACCCCCGAGTCTGCTCTAGCACACACAAGCCCTGTGCTTTCAAGAGAGGGTATGAGTGCGTGTACGATATAAATATCTTTGATTTCATCCGTGGTACAGAAGAAGGTGAATTTCTGCTGTTGTGTTTTCTCCCCTTCTTCACCCCAAAGCAAGCGGGAGATCATGCAAAGCCCTAGAAGACGGGGAGGAAGAGAGGGGTGGATCCCATAGGCGCCGTCCTCTCCCGGAGCGAGAGAACTACATTGCAAACCCTCATGCCAGTTGTGGCCTAGGAGATGCTGTTCCCTGTATCAGTTTGAGCTCTTGCTACGCAGTGCCCGAGATTGGGTAATTTATAATGAAGAGCAATTCCCACTGTATGGGAGCATGTGTTATGACTGCAAACATACCCTAAAAATGCAAATCCCTCCCCTTTCCAGCATGGCAGCCCTGCTGGCCCTTGCCTGTCCCTCACTGGGCCTGCAGCATCCAGCCTGTTGGCAGCCCTCCCCACATACAAAGTTGAGCCCCTGGAGGAACCACTTTTGCCAGAGGCCTCTGATCCCCACCTCCTGCTGCTACAGCCCCTGAAGGACAAACTCCAGGACTGGACTCTGGGGAGACTGGCAGTGCTGCCCCTGTTGGCCCCCAGCCCTGGCTCCTGGGCAGATCCCAGCCTGGCCTGGGGGCCTCGGGAGCCACAGCAAGCTGTGGAGGTGAGGGCGGGTGGCAGACCTAGCACAGAACCCCTTGGGCTGTGCCCCTGGGTGTGGGCCCTCCTGTGCTCCCTGCAGCCCTACTTTCATCCTTGGAATTCCAGCCTTCTGGGAACTCTGGGGAAAAGGGCCAGTGTCACGCCCAGGTCTGCGGACGGTGCCTTCCCTTGCCTGTGACCCTCCTGCGGCCTGCCCAGCGCTCAAGTGCCTGGGGCTGGGGCGGGGAAGCGAGCGAGGGCCGATCCTGGCTCTGTGGGGCTCTCAGGCCCCGGAGGCTGCGGGACAGAGGACAGACCCTTCTGCTGCCTCCTCGGGAGGGCACAGGTCGCCCAGCCCCAGTTGGAGGAGGCAGGAAGCCCCTCTGAGACCGTGCTGAAGTCAGATTTGGAATTCACAGGAGGAGGAGGACAGTGGTGTAAAGACTGTGGGGATCACTGGCATCCCATGAGCCTGGAGCAGAGAGGACAGTGGGGCAGGCGTGAGCCCAAGGGACAGGAGAGAGCGCGACAGCTAGGTCAGGTCCCATGTGGGGCAGCTGGCAGGGTCCCCCAGCTCGGCGCAGGCGGTCGGGACCTGTCTGGCAGGGAGCCAACTGAAGTGGCTGCGTGGAAGGAGCCAGCAGGCAGTGGCCTGGGTGACAGGGAACATGTGTCTCATCTTCGGTGAGGGAGCCGGGGCCGAGCCCCTGGAGGACAACCTCATGGGTCTGGGGAAGGGACAGGCACCCCGCGGTCCAGCTGCACAGGCCATCTCTCACTGGTCCCTGCAGTGTGGCCTCCGTGGCCCCAAAGCCATGGGTCTCCAAGTCAGGAGCCACCGTGGAGCAGGCAGAGGTCTGGGCCCTGGGTTACACCAACAGCACAAACAGCCCATCATGTAGAGAACCATATATTGCCTGTGGCTGCTGGGTCTGACACTGAGTCACAGCAGTTCCCAGGTGACCCTAAACAGGGAGGCCAGGAGCAGCAGAGGGTCAGAGGCTGGGCGTGGCACGGAGGCCCGGCCCAGGCGCCCACTTGGGCCCCAGGCAAAGGGGCTTAACCCGCCTCGTAACCACCTTGTAGCCAGCACTGCACAGTGGAACCTGGAAGTTAGGGTTCTTCCTCTTAGAGATGAGCACCTCCTCCAAGCGTCCCCCAGCCCCAAAGCTGACCCAGTGTGCAGACGCCGCCCGGAAGGCTGAAGCCTGGTCTCCCGCCTCCCTCTGCTCCTTGCTACAAAAGACCCCACCCCCACCCCAGACGGTGGCCCCGCCTTCTCCCTGGAGCCAGCTTTCAATAAATCCTTTTCCTTTTTACCCAAATACACGGCCTCCATTGATCTGGTCAGCGGTGAGCAGAGAAACCTGAGCTTGGGAACCTAACTGACCCAGTTTCCCCTCCTAAGAAAAAAAAGGCGGGGGTGGGAGGGGCTGCAGACCATCTAGGGTTTCTATGGCAACAAAGTAGCTCCTGCCTGAGCTGCTAGTCCCTTCCGGGTCCTTCTGCTTCCGTGTGGGCCAGCTGGAGCCCACAGGTGGGAATCTTTCTCTTCTCTTTGCTTTGCTTTTCCTTTCCTTTCCTTTATCGTCACGTCAGCCACACCAGTGCTTCCTGTGTAAACCCTGCTTGAGAATCCGGGCTCCCGGGGAGCTACCGATGCCTGACTCAGCCAGCCAACACCCAGCCTCCATCCCACCACATGCCCTGGTGGACGAGACGGAGGGAACACCACCCGCTGACGGTCCAGGGAGTTAATCGCGTAGCTCCCCCTTGATTGGAGAAGGTTGAACGTTTTTGTGAAGTAGGCTGGCACAGCAGGGTACTGACCCTTGGGTGTGATCTTGTCCTTATGTGTCATTATGCCTGGCTATTTTTGATAGCACATTTGATGTAATATAACTAAGAACAGACAAATATTCTGTGTTGGTCCACAGCTGCTTACCAACTAGAAGATGCGGAGTACTGCAGAAGGCAGCTCACTCAGGACGGGAGGTGTCCTGCAGGGGGATACGTGTCCCTCACCCTCGCTCTCCTCCACCACGGCTGTTCAAGGCCAAAGGGGCTCCTTTAATTTCTTCTCTCAATAAAACTCTCTAAAATGTGGTGCTCACCAGTTTTTAAATGATAGCTTTGTGGAGCTGTAATTCACCTACCATACAATTGGCCTCTGTAAACCATGCAATTTAATTTTTTTTTCATTCTCAGGGTTGTGCTGCCATCTCCACAGTCAGTGTTAGAACATTTTCATGCCTTCAAAAACCTTTACTTATGAATGGCCATTCCTCATTTCCTCCAGTACCTACCCCTGGGCAGCCAGGAATCTGCTGTTCTAGGTATAAAATTGGCTATTTCTGAATGTTTCCCAAGGTGGAGTCACTCGACATGTGGCCTTCTAAAACTGGCTTTTCACTAGCATGTGTTCACACTTCTGCATGTTCTGCTTCAGTTTTTGGATACTCAGATGATATTCAGCATCCGTGGGTTGGTAGAGGTTCAGGTCGGTTCCTCGGCTGTTGGAATGGGCTTGCTACGAGGACTGGTGTGAGTCCTCTCTGTGGATGGAGGCCTTCATTCTCACAGGTGCTGGGAGTGGCTCTCCCCAGTGCTGGTCACGTGGTACTTTCCCGACCAGACTGAAAGCAGTGTTCCCGACAGTCCCCCTGAGTGGGAAGCTCCCATTCCTCACAGCCCCGTCAACACTTCTTATCTTTTTAGTGCTGGCCATCCTGGTGGGTGTAAAGCACTGTGCCCTGCTTGCTTGTGATATGCATTTTCTGGTAGCTAGAGCGTCCATCGCCATTCGTGTCTCCCTTGGAGAAATGCCCGTTCCCATTCTTTGCTCAGGCTTTACCTGGGCCTTTTTTTTTTTTTTTTTTTTTTTAATCACTGAGTTGAAAAAGCTCTTGGGGAGTAAGAGTGCCTTATCAAATGCATAATTTGCAAAAATTTTCTCCCATCTGTGGATCGTCTTTTTACTTTCTTCATGGTGCTCTTTGAAATACAAAAATTTTAAGTTCTAATGACGTTCAGTTGACCTATTTGTGGTCACTGTTGCTTGTGGTGTGGGGGCTCATTGTTAAGAAATCATTGCTTAATTCAAGGTCATGAAAATTTGTACCAATGCTTTTTAAAAAGTACTTTATAGCTTTTCCTTCTATTTTGATTTACGTTTTTTAATTTAACTTTTGTATGTGATGGGAGGTAGGATCTACTTTATACTTTTACATGTAGACATCCAGTTGCCTCAGTACATTTGTTGAAAAATTATTTCTTCCCTATTGAATTAGTTTGGTATCTTTGTCCAAAACCAAAAATGTTAAGGGATGCTCAACATTTCATAGGATATTTTCATAATAGATTCGCAAAGGGTCATGTATCACATTATACATAGTATGTGGCTGACAATTATTCATCAAAGTGAAGAAGCAACAGCCACCTTTCTGTTCTAGGTCATTCTGAAATATGAGGAGGCAGATTCTCAGTCAGTGGTTAAGTAGTCAAAAATTAATTCCTGCCCGGCTCAGTTCAGACAGGAAGTGTCATCAGCCGTGTGTTATGGACCTGAGGGCAGGCGAGGCTGGATGCACCATCTCCTCTGTGAGACAGCAGAAGGCTCTGCCCAGACAGACTGCTCATGCCTGCTACTTTGGTTTTCTGTCACTGAAGGGAGCACCTTGCGGGTGGTTTCCGGTGACTTTGACCGACACTGTGACCACCTTCACCAAGGACAGCCAGGTGCTGTGGCTGAGGAGAAAACCTGCCCTCCCTGTGGCTCCCAGCTGCCATTTTAAATTTCTGTCCTCCGTCCTCCATGCAGGACTTGGGTTGCACTTTCCAGTCACAGCCTTGCTTTCTTCCCCAGGTGCGCTGGAAGATGGGCCGTCCCCCAGTGGCGTGCCTCGAGCCACCGTCACCAGTGGGATCTCCAACCTGGAGAAGAAGATGAACTGCGGCATCCAGAGCCTCAGCTCGGGGCCTCTGGCCCAGAAGCAGAATGGCCTTTGGGGCACACAGGTAGGGCCCAGTACAGGGCAAGGCTGAGCAGGGGCAGGTCCCGGGAATGTGGCTGCCAGCCTGGCCCAGCGGCTCCTGAGGACCCGGTCCAGCTGGCAGCTGCACTCTGAAGGAAGCATGGGTCTGCCCAGGGCAGCTTGGTTCAGAGGTCTCCTCCTCTGGGGCAGCAGCCACCGTGCTGGGTATAGGATCCGTCTCCATGGCAGAAGGGGAGTGGGCAAGGGAGGGTCCCCAAGGGTGGCAATGTCACCCCGATGGCTACTGTTGGGCGGAAGCAGGGTGTGGAATCCCTGGGCCAGGCTGGCATCCTCTCTGACCTTTTTCTCCCAGAGCTACGCTTGGGCAGTGCTCCTCCTGCTGCCCTGGGTCCTCCCCGATCGGAGCAAACGCTCTTCACACCCCAGGAGGAGGGGGCTGCAGCCTCTTCCTCCCTCCTACTCCATCCTCCTTCTCCCACCCCCTCGCAAGGCCACCACTCACTCGGTCTACAGCCTGCCTTCCTCAGTGTCCCGTCAGCGGTCCAGGCCCTGTCCCTGTGTGCTGTGGGCATGACCGGCTGTCTATGGATGGGACCTCTCTTGCATCCGTGAGCCACCTCTCTGCTCCCCGGTCAGCAAGATTCAGCTACAGTGTTCATTAGGAAAGACACCTTGTAGGAAGGCCATGCAATGGAAACAAAATCACACAATAGATGTGAACCGAGGGGGCCTTTGGCACTGTAGAAGGCAATGGGTAGATTTGGGGTGGCATTGTTCTTCCTGAGCCCCACATTGCCTACTTTGCCTCTGCATGAGCTGGCCTTCTTGGCCCTCAGAAGCCTGGGGACAGTTCTAGTGAAGGCTCAGACATCTGTCCCTGGGGTCCTTCCCCACACCCAGGACCCTACTCGGGCCAGGCTGGGCTCAGGTGGGAAGAGCAGATTTCCCCCAATGGACAGCATGGCCTGGGCACATTTCCCCACCTCCTTCCCCATCTGCCCGTCATGGGAAAGTTGTGCTTTGTACTTTAGCAAGTACTTTAGGGCTATTGGCTGTCACCCCCTAAGAGCATGGTGAAGTCAGTACTGTCCCCATTTTAAGGACAGGAAATTGAAGTGTGAGGTTTGTCTGATTGAGTCATATGAACAGGGTCATGGATGTGGCCATATAAGTTCTGGAGATGGGTGTCATAATTTTTCATTAAAAAAAGGCAATGATTCAAAAGGAGGAGCATTTCTTAAAGCACTCTGCGAATGTACTGGTCAGCTGTTCCCACTGTAGTGCTGCATAACAAGCACACCAACATTCTTTGGCTTAAATACTGACCTTTCCTCTTTTCCTCATGATCAGTTGTTGCTTCCAGGGTTCACACCCAACTTTAGCATCCAGGTCCGGCTCAGTCTGTCCCAAGTACAGTGTATTCTTCTGGAAACCAGGGCAAGAAAGCAGCAGCTCTCCGAAGTGTGTTCTCATAACTACCAGTATGATGGAAACCCAAGAGGGCAAGGCCAGCTGCCTGAACATGTTTCTGCTCATCTTCTATCCACTAGCATCCCAGTGGCCAATGCAAGTCAGAGAGGCGAGCCTCACACCAGCAAAGTGGGAGGGAGAGCAGAGAACTAGCAGCAGTCATGGGGTCTGCTACACGGAACTCACACAGAAGAACACACAAGATGTGAACTCATCTAGGTCAAGAAGGAACATTGTCACCCCCAAGTCTCCCCTTGCTCCTTCCCAGTCACCAGCCCCAGTAGTCACCTCTCTTCCGACCTCGCCCACGATAGAGCAGGTTGCTTTGTGTTTTAGATTTTCCAAGATGCATCTGGCTTCTTCTGCTCACCGTGATCCTGGTGGAAATCATCCCTGCTGTTGGGAGTTGCAGCAATGTCCGCATTTTAACTGACCTGTGGGTTTCGTTTTATGAATAGACCATGATTCAACCGTTTTACTGGATGGGCAAGTTTGGCTGTCATGAACAAAACAGCCGTCCACGTTCTAGTGCATGCCTGTTGGCAGAGTCGTTTCCTTGGGGTGTATGTTTGCATGTCTGAGTTGAATAGACACTGACAAGCGGTTATCCAAAGTGACTGTGCCACTCTGCACTCTAACTGGCAGTGGATGAGTTCCAGTTAAGATGTGTGCCTGATTGATTTCCCTCGGGCCTACGACAGCAACTGCGTATGCACGGGTGTGTGTCCTAGGCACAGCACAAGGCTGAGCACTGCTGTTTTACCTCGTCAGTCCTCAGACTATTTGGATCAATGTCTAAAATGCTGGAATTGTCGACTCAAGTTCATAGCTGAGGACTAAGACTCAGAGACAGCTAAGGAAACCTCTTTCCCACACCACACGCATGCTCGGGTGCACACACACACACACACACACATGCACACACACGTACAGGCACGCACTGGGAGCCTGTGTGGCAGTAAATCGGGCCAGGCAGGGGCCCTTTGGAGCTCCAGCAGCAGTGGGACCTGTGTCATGGGGGAGCGGTGACTGTGCAGCTCAATAAGCAGCCCCGGCAGCTGTGTTCTCATGCATTGGGACAAAGGCTGTGCTGTTTCCCCACTAGGACTGGGAGCAGCTAACTCCACTGCTAGGTGTGCAGACAGTCAGGAGTTCATCGTGAGCTCTGCATCTGAGACATCACCAGCCAGCTGAGTCCCTCAAAGCCGGAGGCAGAGGTTTGCTGTCTACGGTGTCGCTTTTCAAGGACACTCAACCTCTGACTGAAGTGTCTGTCATCTTGCATGACGTGCAGGCAGGCTGGTGACTGTTTGGAATCTGCCAGAGAAAGGACTTTCTTCCTAATCCCTTGTTGGCCCAGGCACCAGGTAGCACAGGCTCTTGGCTGCACACAGATGGAGATCGCAGGTTAAAATAAAAGATGATGACAGGAAAGAACACAGACAGCAGCACAAAGGGGACTCCCAGGAATTCGCCTCTCAGGCCCGGTTGGTTATGGGAGGACTCTGGACTGGAGCCTTGGCCTCTCCACGCTGTCCACAGGGCGTGTACCTGCTCCCCCCCGCCGGGTTCTGCCCTGGGATCTGCCTCTGGCTCTGTGTGAGGACAGTGGTGGGTTCGTTGGCTCCTGGCCCTCGCTGCCTTGGTCACTCACCTGCACTCCAGAGCCAGGCAGCCCGGGCCCAGATCCCTGAGCCAGCGGCTTCCCCTCCCTTCAAGTCCTGCCTGCTTCCTGATGCCCTGGTGCAGGTCTCTCCCTGGCTGACCTCTTGCCCTAGGCCACAGCTTCCCCGAGTCATCACCAGTTCCTCCTTCCCTCTGGTGCTTGTCCCGCATCCCTGGGTGACCTACGCCAGCCCCCAGCGCAGGACGGCTGATCTCACTTCTTGACCTCACGGTGATGATTCTGAGACAACGTGCGCATAGCAGAAGAAACCAGACTTCAGGTTTTGAGTTTGGATTTTTCCTGAGCTAGCAGGGCTCCCAGTAAACCAGCCCAGGAGGAGGCGACTGGTGGTCCCTCTGTGCTGAGCTGTGAGCCCGAGGTCCTGCTTTTGACTGACTCTGTGCTCGGCTTGTGATGGCTCAGGGCGGTGACCCTCAGGGCCTGAGCGTTCCCTGTTCCCACCCACGGTTTCCCCTTGAGCTCCAGCAGCTCGCCCAGCTGGGGCTTTGGGCATTCATTTTAAAGACCCCTCTGGGGTCCACCCCGCCCCCACTTCCCCACTCAGAGTGCATGTGAGGCCCTCCGTGCCGGGCTGGGGGTTTGCTCAGCAGGTCCTGCCAGCCCCCTTAGCGGCTGCTCCTCAGATGTCCACCCAGTGCCCCTCTGCTGCCAAGGACCCGGAGTGGGAAGGGCGACATGCTGTTTGTGCTGAACCAGCCGCCAGGTTTAATCAGGGCAAGGGCAGACAGAACACCGGACTGGAGCTCGGCCCGAGTGCTGTGGACTCTGCCAGGAGCCGGGTCCCTCGGGGGCAGCAGCTGCTCTGTCCCGCAGCGCTGCATCGCTGGGTTCTGAGGGTCGGTGGGCTCTGCAGCGGAGCCCGTGACCCGGAGCAACAGCACCCCAGGTCTCCACCGGTTTTCCAGCTCCCTCCGCCTCCTCCCTGGGTGAACTGGCCGAGTGTGGCGGGCGGGGAGTGACCTCCCCCAGGGAGCGCAGGCTCTGCGGGAGCCGTTTCGCTCTTGGGCCTTGGTTTCCGCCATCACGGGGGCCTCCCCTCCCCGACTCTGCCTCAGACACACCCGCCCAGCTCCCTGCCCGCCTCAGCCCACACGGGAGAAGCCTGCGGGGCGCTCTGTTAACCGGCTGCTGGGAGCTCGGGCCGCCCCCAGCGTTCCCTGCTAACCCTGGAGCTGTCACCCCCCCAGCTCGAAGGCCGCCGCCTCAGCGTGCAGCGACGGAGGAGATGAACACGTGGCTCTGGCTCCACAAAGACAAAGCTCCAAGTGTGTGGCTGGCTCCCCGGGAACCCCTGCCTGCCTTCAGAAGCGGCGTGTCCGCCAGTTGCTTTATTATTCTTGGCACCGTGACCAGACCATGCTAAAGGACCGGCCCCTGTGTGGACCGAGGCTCAGCCAGGGCGGCCTCCTGCTCCCGCCCTCCCCACCGGGCGTCTGTGGGCCGGGCTAGGAGCAGTGGGTGTCACTGGCTGAGCCACGACACAGGACCAGGTTGGGATTTCTGCTGGACAATAGCCCTGGGAGACACTTCACAGAAGGGTCTGAGAGTACTGTAAAGACGGGAAGAAAAACAAGGCACGCAAAGAAAGGAGACAACAAAAGAGACCGTTAGTGAAGCCAGAGAGAGAGGAAGTTGCACTTTAGTGAATGCGCAGCTCAAGTCCCAAAAAAGAAGGGATTTAGCAGCACAGGGAGCCGTACCTATGTGGGGTGATCAAAAACATGGTGAATGTTTATATTAAACAAACATGACAGTAAAAGACGCATTGCCATTTGCTCCCTCTTAAAGTCCTTTGCCTGGCTTCAAACACCCTCATCCCATTGTCCTTGGCACTTTCTCAAGCAGATCTGGAGTCTTCTTTCCTCAGGGTCTTTAGTTGTGCTGTCCTGGCTGCCTCGATGTCCTGAATTGATTCAAATCGCTTCCTTTCATATATATATGTACCGGGGATCGAACTCTTCTCACGGTCATCTTGACTTTGGGGAAGAGTTGGAAGTCACTCGGTGCCAGACTGGGTGGCGAAGGTGGATGGGCACACAGCGCGTGTTTCTGTTAGATGGCGCTTGGCCGCACCATTCTCCATGCTTGAGAGCACACCTCCCAAGGACACTTAAGGAAGAGGACTCCAGAGCTGCTGCACAAAGTCCCAAGAATGTTGGAATAAGTGTGTCTGAAAGGAGGGGAAGTATTTTGAAAGGGATTAATGGCAAAGTATCTTACTGTGATGGTTTTTAAAAATTTAAACACTCACCGCACATTTTGATCACACCGATACATTCAGCTGCTTTTCTAGTTTCGAAGCTCACTGTTCATTCTAAGGTCTGCGGGGAAACCGGTCAGGGAGTGGTCTCCATACTCCTCCCTCGGGTTGCACCCTCACAGGGGCCGGTGGCTGCCCGTGGGCCGAGTGGGGCAGCCCAGTCCTCACCCAGATTAGGAAAGGTACGGGCAGCTGCCCCTGCCCCAGCACTGGCACCTGGTGACTGCCGTCGGCCCAGGGCTTTGCTGACGCAGGTGCTGCTGCCTTCCTGGCACTGGGTCGTTCGCTGGGCATCACTCACCTGCGGTCCAGGCAGGGAGGCCCCGCCTCCTCCCAGTACCTGAGGGGCTGTGAGTTTTGTCTGAAGCGAGGTCTAATTCCTTCCTTCCAAGCCTCAGGCCAGGCCTGGCTGTGAAGGTCCCTGACTGACTTCACGCGCAGAGCAGCAGCAAATGGGTGCAAGGAACCCTGGGATAGCAGGAGTTTCTTACTGGCTGGCTCCCTGTCATGGGGACCTGATGAACAGTCGCACATCCTGAGCCGCCGCCCACCGAGCTCTGATCCCATGGCTTCCCATGACGTCATCTTTACCCTGGGAAAGCCTGGTCCGAGGGTGCCACGCGGCCATCGTGGAGGGGTGGGGGCTTGGCTGTGGTGGACTCAGCCCCCAGGCTGTCTGCCCCCAGCCCCAGGCCTTCCTCCCTTGCACTGGAGCTTCAGGAGGCAGGTGTGGGACCTGGGCCACCGCCCTCGGCTTGGCCCTGGGTGGACTGCCTTCGCCTCAGGGGCTGCGGCTGCCTGGCTGCAGAGGTGACACAGTGAGATCCCCAGCGTCGCTCTGATGGCACAAAGGACATCTGTTCTGGACTTGATCCGAATCCGGGAGGAAAGTCCTGGGTGCCAGGCAGGGCCTGCAGACGCGTTCCCTTGTAGGGAGGATCCACTCAGGTGACCCTCCAGTCATCTATTGGGGTTCTGGTATGTGGCAGGCACCCCGCTGCATTCTGAGGATATTGCAGTGAACAAAATTAGCCTGGGTCCCTCTTCTTGAAGTTCAGTTTCTGTTGCTTTCATAATGAAAAATACTAGAAAAATAGCAAAGAGAGGTGCCTGATAAATTGTCATCTGGGCAAGGCTTGCTTCTCCATGCTGTCTGCCAAGAACTGTGAGAGCTTTGTCAAATCTCCTGCTAGGGACAGACTGTGTGTCCCATCCCACAAAGCTGAGACCATCCTGACGGCCATTTGGGGGAAGCTGGGTCAGGCTGAGCGAATTCACTGCAAGCTCCCATGAGGATCATGGAGTTCTTCAAGGGTCTTGTTGCCGGAGGACACGCTCTTCCCCTGTCGTCAGGAGGGGCTGCGTGTCAGAGGGCGGACACCATCCATGGGGCTCAGTGTGCTGTGTCAGTGTCTGACTCCTGCTGTGGCCGGGGAGTCCCATGCGCATCCAGGTGACGCAGGGCTCAGGTCTGCTGTCCAGCCGCAGCATGGTTTTCAGAATCGTGGCTGCCACTGCTGTTTAGAGGCAGCTGTGAGGTCGGCATTATTTCAGAGCAAGGACTTTGATATCGGGTCGGTGTGTCTGACTTACACGAGTTTTCTTTTTCTTTTTTGCAGCACTGGGGATCAAACCTGGAGCCCCATGCATGGTTGACCAGTGCAGTATTCCTGCACTGCAGCCCGGCCTGTGCCAGAAATGAATGACAATAGCTAGAATCAAGATGTCAGTGTCCCCTGGTTTGTCAGCTTGATGAGGTTTCTGGAATGTGAGATTTTTAGTTTTTACTTTTTTTTTTTTTGAGACAGTGTCTCACCATGTAGGCTGGCCTTGAACTCACTAAGGAGCCCAGGCTGGCCCCAAATTTGAGGTGATCCTCCTTCCTCAGCTTCCCAAATACTGGAATTATAGGCATTCACCACCATGCTTGGCAAGATTTTTAGTTCTTAAAACAAGTCTGTCCTGGGCAAACCAGAAGTTGATCATCTTACTAATGCTAAGTGACACATTTAATTCTCACAAAATCTAAGAATTGGGCATTATTTCCTTATTTTTTGCTGAGGGACTGAGGCTCAGGACACAGCTGTGTGGCGGCACATGTCTGCACTCGGAGGGGGGCGGGTGGCACAGGGCTGTGCTCTGCACACCACACTGAGCAGGTGTGTGGCCGGTGTCGCTGCAGTTGGGACCCCAGGTGGCTGTGTGCTGTGCCCTCTCTCAGGTGACTGGGTGTAGCCTTTGACTCCATGCAGGCTTGGAAATTAAAGGTCATCCAACTACTGAATTTTTGTATAGTGTGCGTGTATGCGTGCGTGCGTGTTTTAAGTACGAAGCACTGAACCCAGGGCCTTTGCAATGAGGTACATCTCCAGCCCTTTTTTATTTTTATTTTTTTTTTGGTACCGGGGATCGAACTTGGGCCTTGCGCTTTCGAGGCAGGCTGTGGAACCACTGAGCTAAATCCCCAGCCCTGCCCTTTTTTTATTTTAAAATTTTGAGACAGGGTCTCATTAAGTCAATAAATTGCCCAGGCTGGTCTTGAACTTTCAATCCTTCTGTCTCGGCCTCCCAGAGTGCTGAGATTGCAGGTGTGGCCACCACACCCAGGCTCTCACCTTGCTTTTTAAACTAAAACATAGACTGGAATAGAGCAGAGAGTTTTCTGTGTAATCTGATAATCGCTGCCAACCACCTTTTCTGAAGAAAAGCCTTTTTGCAGTGCAGGAAGTTTACATTTCCATCCTGGAAACTCTCACCTTCTGCCAATGTGAGGTTGAAATCTGCCATCCGTTTGGCTCTCTTCAAATGCAGCCTCTGTCTCTATCCTGGCTGGGCCTCCAGGCTGTGCGGTGACCACACCCTGATGGAAGGCAGACAGAGATGCCTGGACGTGGCTGCACCTTTCCGCACACATGGCCTCATTCCTTCCTTCCTTTCCTGCTCGAGGTGTGCGTGTGCATGCATGCATGTGTGTGCATGTGCGTGCGTGTGCGTGTGCATGCGTGTGTGTGTGTGTGTGTGATTAGCTGTATGAGGTAGTGCAACACCATACTCAAGGCTAAGTGGGAAGATGAAGGAACCCGGGAGGACCCTGCAGATAACTGTACAGGCGGAGCTGCAGACACAGCCAGAATTGTCTGCTTTAAAGGGTCAGAGAAGTCCGGGTCTCTGCTTTGGGGGAAAACAGTAAACCCACAAAAGTCTCCCTAGCCCCACTGCCCACGAGGGGTTTGAAGACCTATGAGAAAGATGACTCTGAAGTGGTGGTGACGGCCAGCAGTGTGCGTGTGTGTGTGTGAGCGTGTGCGTGCATGCACTGCCTGACCCTCCATCCCTGTGACCATCAGACTGCACCGAGTGGCTGCCGTGTCTCAGGCCTGCACCAGGCACTGGGAGCACTTGGAGAGAAGCAGTACCCTCCTCTCTCTTTCGATCACAGACAGGGAGAGGTGGCGTCCGGCTGTCTTTGAAGGCCCCTCATGACCCCAGCACCGTGAAGCTTCGCCTCAGGTCAGCCTCCTCGGAAGCAGAGCCTCGGACAGTGGCTCCTGGCCCAGGAGTGGATCGGAACCTGACGGGGGTTGGGGTCGGGTTGGTTAGCAGGCACGTGAGCTGTGGTGCCGCCGCTGAGTCTGGAACTGGGGGTGCTGTAGATTTAAACCCTGCATCCCCAATATACAGCAGGTGGCAAGGTTGGCTGTGTTCAGGGGCCGGGTTGTAAGAAAAGTAGACGCCTGTGACCCAGGACCATGCACACTGCCTCGGGGTCCACAGTCGCCGAGTGGAAAGGACGCAGCATCCCACCACAGTGCAGCTGGTTTGTCTTCAGGGGGCTGGGCTGGGGTGGCAATATTGCTAAAGAAATTACAGTTTAGTCAGTGCTTTAATGTGCACAATTAATTCTAGGCTTATTATTGGTGCACCTTCACCCGACATGGGTAGTCAGGTTTTTTAGGTTTTCCTTCCCATTTTTATTTAGCAACAAGCAGTATACTAAGTACACCACTTTAAATCCCTGCATACCCTTATGAGGTAGCTATTACTCCCCATTTTACAGATGAAGAAAGTGAGGGTTAGCGAGGTTAGAGAAAGCTCCCCTGTAGTGAGATTCCACAGCCAGCACTGGAACCGAAGTCTGACTCTAAACATTAACCTCTCTGCCAATGCCTGCAGTGGACACTCAGCACTGGCCTTTGGTGGACATTAGCGGTTCATTCACTGCCAGGGCGCCATGGGCGGGTCTGACGCCAGTCTCTGGGCCAGGCTGGTATCAGAGAGGCAGCAGAGGAACCCCCCCGGGAATAACAGTGCATCGGAGCAGTGACCGAAATGTCACGCTGCCCTGTTCATACAAGCATGCGCAATGTTTATGTCTTATGTTAAAAAGAAACTTAATTTTAGAAAACCTCAGAGGAGGAGCTGTGGGCACTGTTCCTGCAGGCTATCCTTCTGCCCACGAGTGTAGAACAAGCTCAGGACGCAAACGTGAGGACTTGTGGCTGATTCTCAGTAACTCAGTTCACCATCTCCATTCCCACAGGCAAAAAGAGACGCAAAGTGGATGTCTGCAAAAGAAGTCACCATTAGCGTGCCAGACAGCCTTCGAAAGGTGGACAGAAGCAACAGAGTCACAAAGAACTGCACCAACTAGCGGTGGCCTGTGAAGGAGCAGGGACCCTGGGTCTCTTTCGGTCCTGGTCACCACTGAGGGACCCGGAAGTGGCTGCCGCCTGCACCTGCCTGGCATGGACACTGCTGGGTTCCTGGAGCTGCCCTGGTCTGCTCAGCCCTCGCCGCTCTGGGACAGCAGATGGGCTGGGCGGCCCCATTGTGCCCTTGGTGGCCAGGGCGCAGCTGGGTTTGCCCCTGTCACAGGTCGGGGGTGGACGGGGTGAGCCACAGGCCAGGTCAGTTTATGAGACAGGAGGGGTGGGTGTGTTTCCCTGCCGGGTGACCGGAACAGGCCAGCGCGGGGCGTTCTGGGCAGGCTCATCCTTCGTTCCTTCCTTGTCAGTCCTGCCATCGCCGACCTTGAGGTCACACTGAGAAGCCTGCTCACCCAACTGTAACCCAGCTGTTCATGCACTCGAGGCCCAGGGCGAGTCCTGCAGTCTCCTCTCCTTAGCTCAGTGCCAGGCAGGTGAGAGCCCGCACCCCGGGCACCAGCTGCACCAGCACCATCTGGAGACGGCGTCTCGGGGGCATCTCTGTGACGCGTCGCCTCAGCATCTCCCGCTGGTCACCGTCCTTGGGGCCAAGGCGTCCCAGCTGGCACCCAGGGCTCAGCCGCAGCTAGCTCTCTGCTCCCCTCTGCTCCTGCCAGGGTTTTGTCCTTAGGGGTCCTTTGCAGTTGCGATCAAAGACAGCTAGGAGGAGCTCTTGGGAGGAAGGTCATGGGAACAGGGGCTCCACGGGCTTCCCTGGCCCCTGCCCACTGCCCTGGCAGGGAGCTGTCTTGCTGTCTGCAGAGGAACTGCTCGGGAGAGCCAGTGCCTGGCTGGTGGGATTCAGATGCAGACACATCGAGCTGTCGCCCACCAGGTGCTGACGTGGGTAGATGACATTGTGATAGGAATCATTTTCTAGCATTTTAAAAATCATGTTCCGCTGGATGTATTTTCCTCCACATAATGTAGCTGATTCAAAAGGACTGTTAACGCCTGAGATCGAGACAGGCAGGGCTAACTCTGCATGTAGCAGACACAGGCAGGAGCCGCTGTGTCCTGTAATGTGGGCCAGACCTCTTCTCTGCGGTTTCTCCTCACTCACAACTAAGTAGTGTCCATTCTTCCTTTCTTTTGCTGGCAGGTTGTATAACGGTAAAAGCATCGCCCACCTGTGACAGCCGCTGTGCGGATTCGGAGGGGCTGAGTGTGGCGGTCGCCTCCGTGTCCCCGATAGGCAGAGAGCACAGGACAGGCAGTGTGTTGGGCTGCTCCGCGCAGCTGTCTCCCCTCACCCCCGACGGGTGCGAGTCATGCCACAGGCCAGGGCGTCCTGATGGCTGGACGAGCCCACAGTGCACACAACTGGTTCCCTAACTTCTCCATCCCGATTCCTTGTGAAAGGGCTTACAGGAACTTCCTGTTCTCAACATTTTTAAATAAAAGCCTGTGACTCCTGGGTGCCCCATGGAGTTACTAGGTGGGAGCCCCACCTGCAGGACGCCATGCTCCTGAGGGCTTGAGGGCTGGTCCTCCTGGCAGCCAGGGCGGTGAGTGCAAGTCTCTGCACCCTCAGCCTTGGCCACGCCGGCTCCTCCTGACAGCCGAGCTCCGCTCCTGGGCAGGAGGGTGTGGATGGCAGGACAACAGCTCCTCCCTGAGAAGATGGGCAGAAGCCACTGTCTCTGAACACTCTCTGGGTTTTTTCCATGTGTATTTACGACAGGAAGTGATTCTTCCTATCCTTTTAATACAGCGCTTTCTATCGCAGAGTCCATGCCACTAAAGGGATTCATTTCAAATAGATACAGTATCTTCTGGAACTTTTAAATTTTTCTTTATTTGAGTCAGTGTCTCGATACGCAGTTTAGGCTGAACTTGAAATTACTGAGTGCCCTCGGCTGGCCTTGAGCTCACAGCTATCCTCCTGCCTCAGCCTCCTGAGTGATGGGATTACAGGCATGAGCCACGCTTGGTGTGGGAAGATTTTATTTGTATGTAGAGCAGTTTAGACTTTCTTCAAAGGCTCTTTCCATTAGTGACCCCTGCGAATCCAGCAGAAAGTCTAGGGAAGGCGCAAGGAGAGGTCCTCAGCCCCATGCACACTACTGGAAGCGTCTCCACTCCACGCATCCCGGAAGCAGGCGCCTGGGTGCAGGAGGTGCGCTCGGCCTGCAGACCCCAGCTCTCCCCACCTGCCCGGTGCCAGCCGCAGCTGGGGTCTCACAGGGTAGGGCAGGGCTGCCCGTTCAGAGGGACGTCACCCAGACTTGCAGTGTCCCCAAAACGGGAAACCAGAGAAGCCAGCACCAGAAAGAACCCACCCTTCATTCTCCGGCACACAGAGCTGTTCGGGCCTGCCCTGATCAGGCAGTGGATCGCCAGCTTCCCCCTCAAAGCCTCTGCATTTGTTGCATTGCAGGTTTGGGCGCCTTGGCAGCTGTTCTCCAGGAAGCCTGCTCAAGGACAAGGTGCACGAGATCGTCCCTCCCATCCATGCCCTTCTGTGACACCTCCGTGTCCTGGAGACAGCCGGACCCTGTTCCCTTTTCCATTTCATTTCCTTGCCCAGAGGCTGTCTCCTGCATCAGATCAGCCAGGCCCGAGAGGAGACGGATTCCAGCCCAGCCTCCCAGCTGTGTCCCGGGTGCCTGTGCTGGGCAGCCCCTCAGAGCTCCTCCGCTCCCCTGGGAGGGACACCCTTCTGGGTGCACCTGGAGGATTAGGAGAGATGACAGGTGTAGATAACAGCATCTGCCCTGATAATCATCGCATTGTAGCACGAGGAGTGGCAACGGCCCCAGCGATCCCGATCCCGCAGCCCCCGCACACCGGGAGCAAACCAGCGGTCGGGGTTGTGGGGCCAGACCTGTGGCCGAGTCTGACCCGAGTCTTCAACCTGTGGTGGGCCGAGCTCCATGTGCCGCCCACACCCGAGGCTCCGCTCCTCAGCACTTCCGGGCTGGCAGATGCGACTGTACAGAGTTTTCACCTTTGTTTCACTTTGCTTCTTGACAGCAGGGCTGGGGATGTAGCCCAGGGTGAAGACCCTGAGTAAGGGGACCCCTGCAGTCAGGTTCCAGTCCCCTGCCCAGTATGCCACGCAGGGGCCGGGGATTTAGCTCAGTGGTTTCACCGCCTGCCTCGAAAGCACAAGGACCAGAGTTCGATCCCCAGTGCCAAAAAAAGAGAAAAATTTGTAAACCAGTATGCCACGCAGGCCCGAGAAATAAATACCCTAAGAGGCAGAACCAGCAGAGAGGGCGGGGGCCAGGACGACCAACGCTGAGGCAACCGACAAAGGCCCTGGCCAGTCTCAGGCTCTGACTTTTATCGGCAATCAGTTGGGGTAAAGCCGAGCTACGTGCAGTTTCTATGGAAATTAATGTACACACAGCTCGTAAAGGACAAGACAAAGCATCCTCAAATCAGGAACAAAATAGAATACATGGTTGTAATTATCACACTGTCCTAATCAGAAGGTTTTAGTTGTGGGAACAGAATCTGGGTGCGAGTTACTCTGACCTCTGCACGTGGGCTGCGGCCAGACTCGCTTCTGTAAACCAGCCAACTGCGGGGTTGACTCTTCACAGCCTGCCTTGGGCATAATCAATATTATGGTCCCCTGCATCTGGGTTCAATCCCCAGTACTACTTTTTTTTTAAAGGAAAGAAGAATTCACCATGTAAGACAGAGAGGAAAACGATGACTGACACACTTATCCTCAAGGTCATAGATTGAAAGTTCAAGGCCACCGAGTGGGACCCTGTCTCAACAAATTAAAAACATTTAGAAAGGGGGCTGAGGGTGTAGCTCAGTGGCGGAACAAATGCCTACTTTGGGGGAAGCCCTGGGTTAAATCCTTAGCACAGCCAAGAAAAAAAAAAGTCACTAAAGTGCTAAATCAGGCATGGAGGGCAGAGAGGAAACCTCAGAGTCAGTGTGGTCAGTGCTTGGTGTCTAGCCCCAGCACGCCAGCTAATTCTCCCAGCTGGGTATGTGTGTGAGGAGCCAGGGTGAGACACAGCTAAGCCCGGCCCGAGGGAGCTGGCGTCTGTGAGGATGGCTGATCGCCAGGCCCCCAGTGGGCCCAGTGCCACAGCTCTCAGGAAGCCACCTCACCCCAGCCCCATCCTGGACTCAGGCCGTGGTAGCCACTAACACTAACTGGCTGGCCTCTAAAATCCATAAGTACGGACAGCTATTTGTCCATTAAAAATAAAATCAAGGCAGGCGCGGTGGCACATGCTTGTTATCCCGGAACTCTGGGAGGCTGAAGCAGGAAGACGGTAAGTTTGAGTCCAGCCTGGGCAACTTAGTGACTTGGGGAGACCTAATTTTTAAAGAAGGGCCGGGACTGTAGCTCAGTGCAAAGGCCTTGGGGTCAATGCCCAGTACTGCAAATAAATAAATAAATAAATATTTAAGAACAAAACTAAAAAACCTGCTGATTCGCAAAATTATTGCAGTTGACCCTCTCCGTAGGAATTTGACTACTTACTGTAAGATCTCAATCTTACCAGGCCAAGGAATCAAAACCCACTTTTTTCCCCTTTTTCTTGCTGTAACTTGGACTTTTATCACAGCAGAAAGTTCTCGGCTATCAGCCTGTAGTAGTTAGGGTTCCGTGTTCCGGTTCTGACGTTTTGGCCTCTGCTGCTCTTCCCCGCCCCTCGCACCATGAACTTCCGGTCCCAGCTCCAGTCTCCACCCGTTTCCCGGAAGGCACCTCCCGCACCGGTGCAGGTGACAGAAGAGCGTCTGTGGCCGGGCACTCGCTCCTGCTCCTGCTCCTGCCTGGCTCCAGTCCTCGGACACAGCAGTGGGGTTTGCTGGACGAGGGTCCAGAAACGCAGCCATGGCGGTGGCCCTGCCACACAATGAAGGCTGTGTCAGGAAACTCTAAGGGGCGAAAGTGTTATGGGGGTGGGAAGCCTTGTCTCAGCATCGCAGGAGGAGCGGCGACATCCAAGGCTTCCCGCAGCGTCACCTTAGCCTGCAGCAGACGCGTGGACCCGAGCCTGCTGGCCTGTGTTGGTCAGGACAGAGTACCTGCCACACGCAGCGGAAGGAGGAAGCATCTCTTCAGGCTCACTGCTCTGGTGGTGTCAGTCCGTGGTTGCTGGCTCCAAGGCCGAAACACGGCGGTGGGGGAGGTAGGGAAGCTGCTGGACTCAAGGCAACTGGGAAGCAGACGCGGAAGAGGGCCTGAGGCAGCAGCCTCCCCGAAAGGTTCCCCCTCCTCCGCTGGGCCCCGCCCCTGAGCATCCCGATTGGCTGTGCCTCGTCAGGGCGTGGACCTATGGGGGAGGTTTGCCCCTCCTGATCCATTTGCCCTCCCAAAGCCCCCTTCTGAACCCATGAGTCTCTGGGGGACATTTGAGGCCAAGCCCTAACGCTTTAGGATTCGGCCGGCCGCCCCAGCCACCCCCCCACGCTTTTCCATCCCTCGGGCCTTTGGCCGCTTCACGATGAGCGGTGGGGCAGAATTCTAGTGAAGAAGCTTGAAAGACTCAGGACAGACCCCTGGCCACCCGGGCCCTCCGTGGGTCCCACTGGACTCTGGCTGGACTCCTTCCTCTCCGTTAGCTCTTTTCCCTCGACGCAGGCGTGCACCACTGCACACTGAGCAGCCCGGACACTGGTGGCAGCCGGCCCGTTCTTTCAAGCCGCACATCGCCAGGGGTCGTGGGACCCGCTGACCTGCACAGGAGCCCACCGAGGATAGCCCAGGTAGCCGCTCCGTTCCGTCCTGCCTGGTGTCGGATTAGGGGTCTCGCCAGCAGCCTCCTGTTGGAGCTCTGGGGGTCCTTAAACAGTCCGGCGAAATGGCCCCAAAGTCATCAAAAACCCATCCTGTTGGAGTCCCTTTGAAATCGAGACACTTCTGGCCAGAGGAAATGATTCCTCATCTGTGAAATGACAGCACTCAGGATGGCCATGACTAGGGCCGGGGGTTTAGCTCAGTGGTGCCGCACGAGCCTCACAAGCACAAGGTCCTGAGTTCGATCCCTGGTATGGGAAAAAAAGAAAAAAAAAAAATCCAAGACGCCCACGACTCCCGAGCTCCCGGGAGTTCATTGCAGTGAGGTGCCCGGGACAGTCTGGTGTGTCTGGACTCATTTCTGCCTCGGGTCCATCAGATCGCCGCCTCTCTTAGGGCCTAGAAAGTGTGACTCAACAGCATTGTCCTACAAACACCTTGCACCCTGAGACTTTCAGGGGACACTCAGATGTCAGCCACCGCCCACCCAGCTACTGCACACAGTTCTGTTGCTGCCTGATCCAGTCAGCTACCTGAGTCCTCTACAGGACCTGAGCCCTACTGAGAAGTTTGTTCAAGCTGGGCATTGCAGCACACTCCTGCAATCCCAGCACTCGGGAGGCAGAGGCAGGAGGATCACCCTATGGTTGAACCCAGCCCGGCCTCCATAGTGAGGTCAAGGCCAGCCTGAGCTCACAGTGAGTTCAGTGAGACCCTGAGACCCTGTTCAAAAAAAAAAAGATTTGCTTAAACAAACTTCAAAACGCACATCCATGGTGCTTCAGGTTCAGAACTGACAGCCCCCAGGTGCCACCAGAAAGCACTGAGCTGGGTGGCCCAAGGGTCCCCACCTCTGGTTGCCTTTCAGATCTCATGGTAGACAAATCTGAATTAGTAAGGATTGCTAGGTTGAGAGGTAGTCATTTTGTGTCTTAACCCACCGGCAGTGACTTTCATTTGCCAATTGTCTAGAATTATCTTCAGGGTGCCAGAAGTTGCCCATTACCAATTTATTTCTTGCATTAGAAACTCCCATCTCGGGCCGAGGATTTAGCTCAGTGGTTTCGCCGCCTGCTGCGCAAGTGCAAGGACCCAAGTTCGATCCCTGGTACCAAAAAAAAAAAAATTCCCATTTCCCCGTGACCTCTTTCCAGGCCTGTCAGCACCACATGAAGTCTCATGGTCCGCAGAGAATGAGCAACACCGGGACACACTTTTCCTGATGTGTGACTCAGTTTACCTGGGAGGGGAGAGAAAGGGAGTGTCCAGCCTGGGGCCCTTAGAAATGAGCTGTGGCCTTTCCAAGGGAAACTGGTATACTGCTATTCAGACAGCACCAGAGAGTTGCTGGGTAGGCAGAAGGCTGGCATCGGCCTTAGGAGAGAGAGGAGAGAAGCCGACGCCCTGCAGCCACCTCCGCATGCAGGTTCAGCCCCCACAGGGCTGTGGCAGGGATCAAAGGATGCTGCATCCATGCAACACAGCTTTGCACCTACAGCACACTGCATAGAGGGAGGGGTTGTTACTGACTGTGACGAGCCAGAGAAGCAGTTCGTGGAGTTATTAGTCCTCCGAGCTCTGTTGGTTCTCACTGGTAGGATCATGTCTGAAGGATCCACAGACAATCTGTGTCTTTGCCAGGTTGGTGTATTTAGAATATAAACCAATGGCATCGTCGTTAACCAGCATAAATTATCCTGCAGTGCAACTAAACAGCACATCCACGGGAATCTGAAGTGCATAGTAAAATTCTCTCAGTATGCTGACAGAATTTGTCACAGAACTGACACAAGGATTTAAAAGCATTTTGTAAATGGGAAAATGCCAAATAAATGTGAGTTATTATTAATTGAATGAAGGAAGGTTTATTCATTTTGACTTTTAAGTTCATGTTGAAACCAGCCAGCTTCCAAGCCCATGACAGTATTATGGGTGCCATCTGCCGGGAGTTCCTGAAAAATTGATGAAGTTAAGATGAGCAGAATGACAAATGGCACCACACATGGTATTTAAGTGCATGCATTGTTTATCTGGTAAATTGCTATAGGTAAAGTTACTGGTGTGCATTCTCGTATTAAAGCTCACTGTGCAAAGCACTTGTCCAAGGGATGAATGAATGTGTCCCACGAGCTGCAGTGTCCATTTGTTCTTGCATGCTGAGCCCTTGCTGTCAGCCAGGCCCTGTGCTCTGAACCAGACGGGTGTGCAAGGTGGTGTGAATCTTGCCTGCATGCCAGGGTCTGGGTCTCCGTGCAGCAGGGGAGACCAAAGCACCACACACAACCAAGTGCAGTGCATTAGAACAAACTCCAGCTCCAAGGAGAAACCGAGGGCTCCTGTATCCAGCAGCTGTGGTCTTCTCCACACAGGTGGAATTTGCCACTTCTTCAGACAGGTGAGCAGGGAGAATTACTGAAGAAGCATCCAACTTGAGGATGTGAAGCAGTCAGGCAAGCTGAGCAGGAAAAAGGAAAACCAAGCTTCTTCTAACCCTGGGAATCTGATGTTCGGTGGTGGCTATCAATTAGGTTTCAGTCAGTCCAGGCTTCTGACTATTAAGTGCACCAGGGATTTAAAAATAGAGTATTGTCTTAATTGCTTTCTCGTCACTGGGACACAATACCTGACATCCACAAGTTAAAGGAGGAGAGATTTATTTTGGCTCATAATTTTCAGAAGTTTCAGTCCATAGCCCACTGGCTTCAAAGCAGGGTGGCACAGCAGAGGAGAAACAGTCCAAGGTATGGCAGGTAGGAAGCAGCATGGCCATCAGGGAGGAGGAGGGACATAAACCCTTCAGGCCACACCTACCATGACCCCCTCCTCCCACTGGGCTTCACCTCCTGGCATCACACCCAGCTACAAACTCAGCAGTGGACTAACCCAGCATCATACATCCACAATCTAGCACCACACACCCATGATCCAGCCCCGAAGCCCCACCTCTGAGTGCATGAGGCTTTGGGGAACCTCTAGACATCACTTAACAAGTACATGTGCCCACCTCCCTCACCTCCCTCACTGTAGCAGCTGTACTATAACCTGATCCCGCCTTTCACAGGACTGAAGATGTTAGACCCCATCAACAGAACCGTCCCAGGGACTTGCAGGATGCCCGGTTGATGGCACCTTTACATCAGTGCTTCCCAGCCTTCAGTGCACATCAAAATCACCCAAGAGCTGCTTGAAACAGACTGCTAAGTCCCAAAGGTTCTCATTCAGAAGGTCCTGGGGCCTGGTCAGACTGGCAATCCCAGCACTCAGGGAGGCCGAGGCAGGAGAATTGAATGTTTGAGCCTGGATAATTTTGTGACAGAGAGAACCTGTTTCAGAAGAGAGAGAGAGAGAGAGAGAGAAAAGAAGGGAGAGAGAGGAGAGAGAGAAAGAAAAAGAGAGAGGAGAGAGAGAGAGAGAGAGAGAGAGAGCCCCTTCGCCACAGAGGAACACAGGTCCCGAGCAGTACTTGGGCCATCTAGTGGCCCCAGCTGCCGGCCACAGAGGAGCAGAGCAGCACGGGCACCAATGCCCCCTCCCCACTGGGCCAAACCAGCACTTGGATCCACACCACTGAGAGGCGGTGGGTCAGAAAAGAAATTGTTCTGAGCTCCAGAAGATAGAGCAGAAGTGAACAAGAGAAAGAGGGCCTCTCTCAGACTCCTTGATGAAAACTGAAGCCCACTGGAAAAGTGAAGAGAATCTCTGCGAAAAAGACACACCAGACCATGGTGCTTGGTGAGTTGGAGGGATCACCACCTCCCATCAGAACATGGACTATCTTCAGGGGAAGGGCAGCTGGAACCTGCAGTAGAGCCTTGCAGAGTTCAGCCCTGCAGGAGGACAGGGAGCTCAACTTGGGGCTTGTAGGCAGAAATCAGCCTGAACCTCAGGGGACAGCTGCTGGCTTGGTGAGACTCATTGACCTAGATCTGCACACTGCGCACGTTGTCTATTGTGACAGCAGAGGCATATCCTGAAGGAGGCCCTTTATTTTTATTTTTTATCTTCCAAGTAATTTTTTCTTATTTTTAACATTTTTTTCTAATTTTATCTAAGCTTTTTCTTTTCAAATTTTTCCCCCTTATTTTCCCTTTTCTTTTTTTCTTTTCTTTCTCTTTCTCTCCTCTCCCACCTTGTTCTTCATTTCTCTCCCTTTTTATTCCCGTTCCTGTCCTAATTCAAATTTCTTTTTTTCTTAATTTTTCTTTTCTTTTCCTTCTCTTGATTGTCATTAGTTTTAAAGGAAAATGAATAAAATTTCTAGCCTCCTTATTGCTATTAGGTTGTTCTGTTTTTGTGTTTGTTCTTTCGTTCTGTCTTCTACTCTTCTCTTCAAGAGCCTTCTAGAGTTTGCATGATCTTCCTGTGCCCTCTGGCCTCACTTCTAACCTTTCCCTATCATACCTACTTATCTCTCCTTCCCCAACTCCTTCTAAGTCCCCATCCTGAGGGTGAAGTTTCTATATTGAAGGGTTTATTCACTATAGACATATTTTGGGCTGGCCCTTGATTTTGATTTAATTCACATGTTTAAAAGTGATAGGTTGATAACTTCCACAAATTGTCATTTTCTAAACTGTGCTTGATGCTATTGTTGTTGCTGGTTGTATCACTTGGTCTAAGGTGCTGTGATTGATCGAATCAGTTGTCCTTCCAGGTATACTGAAAATGTGATGGCCTAAGAATCATTACCAACTCAAAACCTAAAGGCCAGATATATCTGGAAGACACTTCTGAGAAACAATCATTCCATAAAGGTTCTAAATACAAGCAATAAAGATACTTACATTAAGCAATACTGAAGTATCAACCCAGGAATTGAACCAAAAACAGTACCAACAACAAAAATAAAAATGAGAAGACATCTAAGCAAGACACAAAAAGACACAAAAGACACAAAAGCTACCAGCTCACCAAAGGCAAATTCTGGGGGAAATGAGGTGGAAAAGTCTAATAATCAATCACCTGGACACCCTACACTGATGGCACAGGAAGTAACAAAGCAGATGAATGAAGCTCTAGAAAAATTCAAAACAGAAATAATTTCCCAGATAGCCACAGGGATGGTGAGCAGAATGAGAGACATGATTAGAAACTCTAGAACAGAAACAGATAAAAAAAAAAGATGAGCTCAGGGCCATGAAGGAAACCATGAATGCTCAGCATAGGAAAGAAATGGAAATCATGAAACAGATTCAAATAGATACCCAGGAGATTAAAAACTCTATTGAAAGCATTCACAGCAGAATAAGCAAATGTGAAGACAGAATATCAGATATAGAAGACAGGATTGCAGTCAGTGACCATGAAAAGAGAGATCTCTTAAAAATAGTAAGGGACCATGAGAAATTGATCCAGCAGCTCCTAGATGATGCAAAGAAGAATAATATAAGACTGATAGGAATCCATGAAAAATCAGGAGAAAGTACAAGTGACATAAAAAACTGTTCACAGAAGTAATGACAGAAAACTTCCCAAACAGAGCGAAAGAAAGGGAGAGAAGAGAGAGATAAAGAAGGGGAGAGAGAGAGAGGGAAAGTGAGAGAGCAAGGGAGAGATCCAGAGAGAGAGAGAAAGAAAGAAAGAAAGAGAGAGAAAGTGAGAGAGAGAGGAGGGAAGGGAGAGGGAAGAGAAATACAGGTCAGGATTTAGCTCAATGCTAAGGCCTTGGTTAAATCTCCAGTACAAAAGAAAGAAGAAAGAGAAAAAGGAGAGAAAAGGAGAAAGATCTCAACAAAGAGAAATCACCATTGTAAACAGTGGTACCTCGCTTCCACATTTCCTTTGATGTGTGTCTGTACACATATGTGCATGTAACTGAAATCACACTGTGTATACAATTTTTGCATCTGACATTTTTCTTTTGGCATTACAGCTTTCATATTATTTAAAACTTCACCAATACAGAGCATGCCAGAGCTGAGGCTTGAACTGGAGACAGCTGTGCAGGCAGAGTGTGGCAGACTTGAGCCAGCCAACAGAACCTGGCGGCTGGACCCATCTGCAGCTCCGCTGGTTAGGGCGCTTGGCTGGAGCTGGATTCCAGCTCTGCCCAGATCCCAGGGTGGACATGGAGAGCCCATGGAGGGTGCAGAGAGGGCGAGGGGCCAGGAGAAGTCTGGGTGGGCTGCGGGTGGGTGGTCAGGCCGCACGGCCAGAGGATGGCCCAGAGGCTGAGTGTGGTGCCTGCAGTCCCTCCGGGCAGTGCACCTCCAGCAGCTATGTGTCCTGGAGCAGCAGTGAGGCGTGGGCTGCCTGTGGCCTCTTCATGTGGGTCTTGCAGGCCACACGGGGGCTTCTGCTTCCCCAGGGTGCTGCAGCTGCCCTCACAGTGGCCTTGGGGTCGGGCAGGGCACAGCTTTGGGGCTCAGCACAGCCGGTACAGCTCACATGCCAAGAATCGCTGCTGTTCTTAACGAAATCTGGTGGGTTTTCTTTATTTTCCCATTTTCACATGCTCTTCAGGCAATTTCTAAAGCATACAAGTGAACTTTAAAATGCTTTTGCAGATGTCCTGCTGTTTTGCTGGTTGTCTGGGGAGCGCCTTCCCCCGTGGTTTCGGAAGCCTTGATCTTGTCTTTCCCCAGTCAGCGGCGGGAGGGGCAGGGCAGCAAGCAGGCCCTCGTGGCCACACATTTCCCCTTTGGGGAGAGGCTCTGCTCAGCCAACGCAGGAAAGATTCCATTCCGAGGGCATCCTGGCCTCTGTGGCCTCGAGCCCTTTAACTATTGACGAGTGGCATTACCATGGGTGTGTTACATACGGTGCGTGCAACATCATTTTTGTTGGAGCTGAGAGCAGTTGATTAATTGTGAAATTAGCCTAATTAACTTTTTAGCATTCGTATGAAATCAGATTTAATTTCTGGTAGGCAAAAATTTACCATGAGATCCAGGCATGGTGGTGCACACCTTTCTTCCCAGGACTCATGGAGGCTGAGGCAGGAAGATCTCTGTCAGTTTGAGGCCAGCCGGGGCCACATAGTGAGTTCAAGGGCAGTCTGAACTACATAGTGAGAACTTGTCTCAAATAAATAAATAAATACATACATACATACATAAATACATAAATAAATAAATGTGATGAGACTAAAACCTAAGAGCAGATCTATGACTTCAGACATTTAAAGTTTTTTAAATTATGTAAGTAATAAATGTTTGCCATGGAAAAAAATAGAGGCACATCTTTTCTTCCCAAAGTACGGTGGCTGCTGAGGGAGCCGTGCTGGTCAATAATGACTCCAGTTTCAGGGCGGAGGTGCAGCTCGGCGGTAGAGCACTTCCCTAACATGCACAGGGCCGGCCTGGATCCCCGGCTGCCTTGCATATCACTCTGTTGGGGTCCAGATGAGAATCACTGTTCTCATGCTGAATCCTAACCCTTCTCACCACTCTGCGTGGCTTACAGGTTAAGAACTTAGAGCCAGAATCAAGTCAGAAATACCCTCGATGTTTCAGAGAGAGGATTCAGTAAAACGAATACGGTGGATCCTTGACTTACGAACTCAATTCATTTGCGAGGACTGGTTGAAACTCAAGTTGGTTAGGTGTCTTCA